ACTCCTTGAGCTCCCCCCAAGGACAAAGAGCCCTCTTTGCTGGGAGGCTTGTGCAGCCCTACTGCAGATCAGGCTGGCTGAAGGAAGGTGATGCTGAGCAGACATCAGAGAATACAACATATCAGCAGATTTATACCTAGTTCACACCAGCCTCTGCTCCCCAGAATGAAATTCATGAATATGCACTGCAGGATAAAGACTTTGCAGGACGTAGCATTAGTGGGGTCTAGTACCTCTTCCTCCTGCTGCAGGTGTTCAGCTGTTCTGCTGGAACCTCAAGAGGTCAGTAAGTGAAGCCTGGGCCTTAGTGACCCTCACAGCCAGCTGAGACATAAGATGAAGGTGTTTTTACCCATCACTGCTGGCTCAAAGGGCAGAGATCTGCCACCCTGCTCTAGGGACCCACCAGGGCACCACCACAACCACAGGCAGGCCAGTCTTGCTCCTACATTTGGGGCTTGTGCAGGGTAGGGGACTCTGTTTTGTAGTTCTTCAGGGAGTAGCAGATGAAAGAACCCATGTTTGTAAAGTCCAACACTCAGGGGTCATTCAGATGCTAAACCACTTTAGCAATAACAAGTTTTCTCCTTGTGCAGCTGCATTCTTTGTTACAGCATTGGTTTTTTTTTGTTTTCTTCTTCTTCTTTTAATAATTTAAAGGATGAAAATCTGCAATTACCTGCATGGGAAGAGATGTCCAAATGTGGATGTCTCTTTAATGTATCAGGAATAAGCCTAGGAAGCTCCAGAGGCTGGCAGCTGAACCCAGACACATTCATATGAGAAATAACATACTTGGAGGCTAATTAACCATGGGAGCAATTTACTTGAGGTTGCAGTAGGTGCTCCATGACTGACAAGTATTGAATCAAAACAGGAGATGTGTTGCAGTAATCTGCCAACACTACAGTGAAAGTTGTGGTCCTGGGAGATGTGGTTATGGGAGATGCTCTGGAAGAGGTCAGGTTTGACCCATGGTGTGCCAGTACAGAGTTTGGGTGTCAGTACCATCTTGAGGTGTTGCAGCCCTCCTGCTCCTTGCCTCCACACTTCACACATGGCCTGTGAGGTGAGCCCCACCTTGTGCTAGTACTGCCATTTGTGGGACAGAGCTGTGAACTATTTGAGCCACTGAGCAATGTGAATTATATTTTTCTCAGTTCTAGCTCAACGCAGGGCCCCACAGGTAGCAATGGTAGTATGGGATGCTGGCACAGAGCCAGCTGCAAAGGTAAGAAAATGGATATTCACAGAGTAATGGGGTGGGTTGCACTGAAAAGGAACTTGGAGATCATCTAGTTCCAACTCCCTTGCCATGGACAGGGACACCTTTCAGCAGACCAGGTTACCCAGGACTCCATCCAACTTGGCCTTGAACACTTCCAGGGATGGGACATCCACAGCTTCTTCTCTCTGGTCAGCCTGCTCCTGTGCCTTATCACCCTCACAGTGAAGAATTTCCTGCTAATACCTGATCTAAACCTACCCCCTGTCACATAGATGTCCTTATCAAGCTCAGTGACATTGTTTCATCCTCACAATCAGGAACTCCCTACCCAAGATTCCAATTCCTCTACATGTCTCTGATGTGCTCTGCTTTCCCACATAGAAATGCTGTCCCAGAAGATTTCAAAGACTTTTCTTGATGATTTTAACATGGCCCCAGGTTTCTGACATGTGGAAATCCAGCCACGGGTATTACGTGGGCAGGCACTGGGGCTGCCACCCTTCTGAACTACGGGGCAGTGCTGCAGCATTTGCCCCTATTGCCATGGGTTGAGCTTGTCCCACTGCTCCTCTTAGGGAGGAATTTAGTGCACGTGTGCTGCAGGGTCAGTTGGTGCTCTCAGAGCGAGCCTGGTGTGCAGGAGAATGGCAGATTTACTGTGCCAGCCCAGCCCATGTGTGCAGCACATGTGCAGGGTCTGAGCTCTGCGGAAGTGTCTGGCTCACCGTGCCTGTGCCGTGGAAATCACACAGCCAGGAGATCCCAACAGGAATTGTGTCACCACTGGCCATTGTCATTGTATGGAACTTCCCTGGTCTCAAAACCTGTGGATGGAGCAGCACAGGTGCTATAGGAATAAAGGGTTTTGTTAAATCCCTATTCCTAAAATGAGGAGATTTGGATACCTGTGCATTACTGCATCTCCACCTCCCCTAGGCTTTCATCTCCTGTTCCTGCAGTACCCCTTGCTGGCTGCTGGGCTGTTCTAGGTTCCCTCTGGAGAGTAGAGACCACTGCCCATGACATCTGAGATGTTCCAAGAACAACTCCAGCTCTAAAGGCAGGAGACTTGAACAATTACCAGGAAATTCATCTTGCAAAAAATCTCAACAAAAGAAAAAAGGAAGAAAACAGAAAGAAAGGAAAACAAACATGCAAAAGAAAATTTGAGCTAGATATATATGTTTTATCATAAGATTTTGATATAAATAGAAGTAACTTATTTATCTTGGTATTATAGAGGCAGAAGAGGAGCCCTAAGCAAGCCAGGGCCTTTCTGTCCTGTTTTTGGTCTGCACTGTGCTGCCTGAGTGATGCCTGTGCCCTGTAACAGTTTCTTGGGAACGTTTTTATCAGGAGGCCAAGTAGCTTCCTAGAGAGGTGGGATATGGGGCATATGGATGTCCTGTTTCTGCTGCTCCAGGAGGTTATAATGAGGATTTGCTTTGCTTTTCAGTCCCTGCTCAAAGACCACTGTAGAAGGTATGTCTTCAACAGGGCTATAGGTCCTATAAAAATGGCAAGAAAAACCAGAGTGTTTCTTCCTTTAAGTTTGGTCTGCTCATGGTTTTGCTCTGTGAGGGGAGAGTGACAAGCTGAGCCTGAAGAGGTGATTCAATAAAGTCCATGCTGGTTTACTTTCAGCCAGAATGTAAAGCATTTGATGTTAGAAAACAAGTTGGACTAATCTTCAAATCCAATTGCAACATATTGATCTTCAAATCCAATACAGATTGTGTTCATAATTTCAGTTTAGAGTTCATTAGTTTACTCTTATAGACTTTGTGCATTACATTTTATGCAGCAGCCCCTGTACAGAGAATTTAAAACCTGGCAGCTGGGGATTTTGACTCTTTTGGCACATTTCTGCACATTTAATTTTGTACAACAGCAATGCCTCCCCAGCAATATTTGCACAATTTTCTTTTTTCCAGATGACCACTGTGAGTTGTGGGGAGCTCACACCTCTCCCTATTCACTAGGGCTGACCCAGCTGATATTCTCCCCCTGCTCAGCTGGGGAGAAACTGTCCCCAACCATTCCATTGTCACTGATCTTCCAGGCCTGACCCTCAAGAAAGATGTTAAAGCATTTCAGAAAGGCTTTTCCTTCTTTTACAGAGCTTGGGAGCTGAGCTCTCAGCACTGCTGGGCAGCAGAATTGGGGATGCATCAGTGCTAAAGGAGTTTACAGCATGTTATTGTTTTTCCATTTCTAATTGTATCTCTTCCCTCTCTGTCTGCAGGGATTTATTATTGCTGCCTTTGCCAGCTTCCTCTTATGCTCCACAGGGTCCAGCTGCCCTTTTGTCCCAGTCTATAATTGACCATGGTCATTAATTTAAAGTCAGAATGATCATTTCCGAGCTATATTTAGCCTGAAGCTTGCTGCTCTCATTTCAGACCTGATTAGAGGCTCGTGTGCCAGAAAGCTGCTGCTCGTCCCTGCCATGACAAACAGTCTGATGGTCTCTCCTCTCAAACCTTCCCCTTCCCTGCCCTGGATCATGGGGCTCTCCTTGGGTCACTGGACCCAGCACCACTCGCCCCTGTGCGGAGCTGGCACAGCTGGGACATTGCTGCTGTGTTCCTGGAATCCTTGTGCATCCAAAGCAGCCCAAGAAAATACAGCATCGTTTCCTTTCTCAGCATATTCATGAGCTCAAGCACATGTCTCCTGTCATGGGTGTGCATTATCACTTCCCAAATGCATCAGCCACGCAGTGCACATTGCACTCCTGCACAGACAACGTGCCTGCGCACTTGGAGTGTGCCTTTATGTGCTTCCATATCCATGCCCCTAAACATAACAATATAAGAACTTCCTCGTGGGAGCTGCAGTTTTCCAAGGTGCTGTTTGGATTTCTGGTCTGGGGAAGCAGGGAGAGACCCCTGCAGTTGCCAGCTCCTCCTGTGGTGGTTGCATATGGTGCCCAGGATTAGGAATTGCTTGGTTTGGGGGCTGGCAATGTGAGCAGGTGAACCTGTGTAGCCTCAAGTCTGACTCAAACAGGAGCTGTCTGGAACAGGTATATTCTTAGCCAGGGCAGAAGCCATCAGGAGAATAATGCCCATATATCACTGACTTTAACCTGTCCATGGAAGTGCTGTGGTTGGGTGTGGGAATGGAATAAACCAGAAGTGCACCCAGGTCAGAATCCTACCGTTTGCTAATAGCCAATGCCAAAGAAAAAGACAAAAAAAGGAAAGCACTTAGCAGTGTTAGTCCAGCTTTTCCTCCCTTCCTCAGGAGCTTCCTGAGCAGGAGGTGGCATTTTTGCACCCAATAGCTTTGCTGCGTTTTATTTCCTTTTTCTTCCATTTCCCAGTCCTTGCTTGAATCCAGGCGAAGAGCTCCTCAGATTAAATACATATTGGGGCTAAGAAGGATCTCCTTTTGAGATGGACATTTAAAACATGTTCTTTAATTGCTATTGAGAGTTGTTAAAGTTATGGAACTTAATACATAACTCAAGATCTTGTTCTTGAAACGCTGTTGTGTTTTGAAAGCTCTCCCTACCTGCTCTGAAATGATGCCCAGAGCTCTGCTGCCAGTTAGGTTTCACTTCGTGTTCTGAGCTGTGCTTGCTACAAGCATTTAGATTAAGCAGAATTTATTCCTTCTATTTAAGGACACAGAGGCTTCATTAGAAAGTATTTGTGGGTACAGTGGCCACCTTTGTTATCTCGTGATGTAGGATGAGCATTGGTTGTTTAGGATTTCCTCTGTGACCACACTGGCCTTATCTGCTTTCTTCCTCTGTTTCCCACAGGTTCATGAAGGTGGCTGGTGGCACGGTGGATGCTGTTACCTGGCAACAGTAGGTATTCACCATTCCTGCTACTTTCCAACACTCAGTGCAGTGATCACAGATGCTGGGAACAGAGCTGGTGTGCTCTCTGGGTGTCAAGGGGCAGATGTGCTACAGCCACCTTCTCTGCCCTGCTGAATTTAAACCGGTGAAGGAGATTCTGCCCTTCTTTCTCAAACCTCTCAAACAATTACAGGAGTGGATGTAATAACCTTTACCTCTGCAGCTGAGACACAGGACGAAAATACCACTGCCTGTGTGCCTAGCCTGACAGATTGCTGGAAACAGAGCCCTGAACTGGACTACTGAGTCTCCAGAGGCAGCTGGGAGGACAGGCAGCTCCAGGGGTGGCCTGGGGAGAGACAACAAGGAGGCAAAAGCCAGGTGTGACAGATGTATGGGAGTGTCTGAAAGCCCTTTTCCTTTCACCCCAATCACTGTCTCCTCATGCCCACTGGCCTGAATCTAAACTGGTTCATCCAGACAAGAGAGAGGCATCTTAGTCTAATGGTAAACACAGAATGCCCCAGCCCCCAACTCTGCTTTGTAAGGGTGTCCACAGACACACCGCTCTGTCTACATGCAGGTGGAGCCCCAGGACAGATATCACTTAAAGGGGGGTGAACATCCAAGAGCCTGACCCAGCTGAGGTTGAGGGAGATGCTGTTACCTGGTTTTCCCCCTGTCCTACAAATGCTGCATTTCAGAAGAGCCCACGAAGCTCTGAGCTGTAGCACTGAGTGTTACAAATGCCCTATGGAGGGAAAGGTTTTCTTATTTGAGGGAAAATCCAAAAACATCTTTTCCTTCCTCTTATTTCCACCTGCCCCAGTTTGCATGCTGTGGCCAGAGGCAGGCTCCCCAGCAGGCTGTGGCTCTGCAGTGAGAGTGCAAACACCAGTGCCAAGGTGAGGCACCCTACAAGCACAGCAGTGACCACCAACATGGATAGCAAGAGGGTTTGTGGGGCAGGCAGGACTCTCTCCTGCCACAGAAAGGACACATTTCAGAGACAAGTATTCACTGGAGGGAAAAATAAACTATGGTGAGGCCATTCTGTTCGCAGAAAAAGTGGATTTGCTGTCATGCTGGGTTATCCTTCCCACGCAGGACACTGGCCTGAGCATGGAGCCAGGGTCTCAGCTCCAAGGTGTGCTTGAGTGTGGTGCCCACAGGTCTTGTTCCCAAGCTGATTCTTCACCATGACCCTTGATGTGGTGCTGGGGCTGCTTTGCTGCAGTGCAGTTGTGGGGTGTGTAAATCCATCACCTGTAAAGGCCCTTTGGCCCCCTGCTCAGAGGCAGAGCTCACTGGGGTTTCACACACCATGTTTTCCTGTAAGCACACCCATGGTCTCTGTGTCAGTACTAACCTTGGAGGCTTCTACAGAAGCAACTGTTGCATCCTAGAGAGGTTTATAGCACCAGACATGAGCAGCAACCTGTAGGTCCCATTCCTGGGGCTTGGCTGGGCTCAGTGTGCTTGCCTGGGTGTTCAGCTCCTTGGGTTTCCCTGCCAGGCAGCAGCAGCTTGCTGCAAGGGGGACAGTGGGGTAGCAGAGCAATTGGAGCAGGATTTGTGTTACTTACAGGCTCATGCTGTGCAATGATGATCTATGTCTCATCTGGGAATTTGCTTTTCATGATTACACGATGTGCTGATCGCATTTACTTAGTCCAGGAATTTGCTTTCTGCAACAGGGCTTGATGGCTGGGCCAAGCCCTTGGATGAGTTGAAGGAACAATCTTCCAGGCTTCAGATGTGGAGTTTCATCTGGTGTGCAGGGAATCTGCCTGCATGGCTGCTTTGAAACCGTTTCTCATAGGGTCAGTCTGAAGTGCTTTGTCAGCTCTAGTGCTGAAGCAGCAGCTCGTGGCTGGGAGGGCTGGTGCAGCTCCCCACAAGGGTCAGCAGAGTTGAGCTGCTGCCTGCTGACCCATTTCCACTGCAGTGTTCCTGCTTCTCCCCCAGCCAGGGGTTGCAGCTCTGGAGATAGCACTTGTATGTGATTGTGAGGACTGGCAATGGCCGCAGCTCTGAGCTGGGCTTCTGTACTGTTTATGAATAAATGTCAAAACAGTGTCTCATCCTTCTGCTCCAAACAGCAAAACAAAACAAAACAAGTTCCTTTGTATCCAAGAAGAAAATTATTAGCAGGAAACTAAACTGCTGTCTAATTTCAAGTATGAGTATTTTGGTTCCAAACCCTAAAGTTCTCCTGGGATATTGGTTATAAATTTGTCAAATCTGTTATTCCTTTGAAAAGTCTGTGCTCAATCCAGAAGGGGAATTGAGAAGGGAATATAGTGCAAGGAGCCCTATTCTTTGTGTGAAAACAGAATATATCTGAAATATAATTGATAGAAAAGTGACACTGGGTAGAAATGAGCAGCTCACCAGTGAGCCTCACTCACTCAACTGAGTATGGCTTCAGTTACATACATAACATCACTCAGCACAAATCACTGTGCCTCCCTCTTCAGAAGTAAAGTGTTGCTGAAGAGGGATGTGTGAATGGCTTCAAAGTGCTCAGGGAATTTCCTCTAAAGCAGGGTGTGACAGTGGCTCCAAGAGATTTGGCATTTCCGTGGTGATTTAGATTGGTTATGAGTGAACACAGACCCCATCAGCCTTTGGATGTGGGTTCCCGCTGCTCAGAATCCTTCCCACAGCCATCTCTTTGCTCTGTGCTGGTGTCCTCACAAACAGGGAAGATTCATTGTCTGCTTAAGCCTGCAGCTGTGCCCAGTCCATCCCCCAGCCCAGTCTGCACAACTGCCTTTCCATTCGAAGTCTTTCACACAGCTCCAAGTTTGTCATGTTTAATGTGCAAATCCTCATTCAATGCTGCCTCTGAAACACAAATCCCTATTACTTATGGGGAAAGTAAACGCTTACATCTTCAAAAACAGTCCCTGTGGCTTCTTGGAGAATGCCAGCTTCTCTTCCAAGATACAAAAACTCTTGTCCTATGTGGCAAATCAGGGTGCCAGACAGAGCTGCCAGACATACAGGCATGTATGAGATGTTGCTTAAAATGCTTTTGCCTGGCTTGGTTTGGGTGACATCTCTTCTGGCCTAGTCATGGTGAGTGTGCAGGGGGAAATGCTCACAGGCAGTAGCACAGGGCAGATTTGCCAAAGGTGCCAGGAGAGAGTTGCCCAGGATGGGCACACCCACCAGTGTATGTACCCAGGGTGTGTGTTTGGGCTCGCATCAGCCTCAGGGTGCCCAGAGTGCTGTGTCTTCACAGGCTGTGCCTGGAGGAAGGGGCTGCAGAAAGGAGTCTCTGACCCATTTGCACCTGTGTGATGGCTTTAAATCAAACCCACCACAACCTGTAAATAAACCTGGTCAGGGCACAGCTTTGCCCACGGGCTTGCAATCCTCTTCACTGTCTGATGGAGGGAACAGTTCCTGGCAGCACCATGGCCTGGCCACCTTCACATTTCCAGGCAGTGCCAGGGCAAGGCTGGGGAGATGGCACAGGCCAGGGATGGCTCCCGGTGGTGAGATTGCCAAATCCATCTTGTGTGGGGTAGAGAAAGGTGTGGGTGTGAGCTGTGCCTTTGGGGCCACAGAACAGCCCCCAGGCACTCTTCATCCAAGCCTTTATTAGCTGACTGGAGGTGGGCAGCGCCTCTCATGTGTGCCTGCAGGGCTTGGAAGGAGCAGTCGCATCCTGCCTCTGCTCCATGAGAAGCAGGGCAGGGTGGCTGCCCCACATCCTGCACTGCAGACACCCTCACCTCGGGAAGGTGCTCAGGGCTCAGGGGCACCTGTCAGCAGAGGTGTGCCAGTCTCACAGCTGCAGTGGCAGCAGGGTGTCCTGCTGGCTGTGAGGATCTGCCCTGCTCGGTGTCCCTGGCAGGAGGGTCCCTAATTCCAAGCAGACTCTCCCTGCAGCGCAGGCAACAAAGGAGATCCGGAAATTCCTGAGCTTTGGGAAGTGGGCTTTAATGTAATTAACTGCAACAGAAGAAGAGGTCAGATAATAGGGGCAAAGGTTTCTCTTTAAAATGAAGGAGGATGTAAATGAAACCAGCTGCCCAGGAGTCGGTGCACTGCCTTCATTAAACATGGTACAGTGCTTAGGGTCCTGTGCAGCAAATCATGGATCTTGCCAGAAAACAGTTTTAAATGCAACACCAGAGCTGGAGGTGAGAAGACAGAGACATGTAGCCAGCCCCTGAATTGCCCAAGGGCTCTGGTGCCTGGCACTGTCCCTGTCCGGGAGGCAGTGGGGAGCTGTGTGCAGCCTGGCCTGGCAGCCTGCTCAAGAATAAGGGCATTTCTGACTGGCAACTGTGTCCAGCCCTGCCTCACTACTGTTCTCAGCTCATCTTTGTTCCATGCTACAGATCCATCAAAGGATGGAGGCCAGGAATTGGGGTGGTTCATTTCCTAGCGCTGGCATAAATTCTTGCCCAGCCCTTGGCTGAGTCCTTCCCCTGCACCACGCTCTGGTTTGGCCATCCCAGGATGTCCCAGTCACACCTCCCTTTGCAAAGTGTGTGATCTCATCCTGGCTTTCTATGGCACAGTCAAATGATGGTTTTAGAAATGGGGCAATGTAGCAGAGGGGGGAGAATTTGTCTCAGTTTTGTATAATAGGCATCCAGAGTATAATAGGACACCCAAAAGGACAGGTCCATGGCCTTTCCCTCAAGATGTATGTCTCATCTGGGATTTAGTAGCTAGATCCATCTTTTTCTTGGCTGACTCTTCTCATCTTCTTGCAGACTGCCTGTTCATAGAGATAGTGGCATCAAGCAGGGGGACACAATGGCCCAGCTCTGTATGTAATTGGCCATATCTCTTCTCTCCTGAATTATGAGGAGCAGCATGGTCAGTGCTCATGGTGTGCATGCTGATGTCTCCCAGGCTTCAGGGCCACTGCTGTTGCTGTGCTGTACACAGAGCCCACTGAAGGAACTGTCAGCCTGTGCTGGACACAAACAGCTTGTCCAGGAGCTGGGTGTGCTCTGCCTCTGCAGTCGTGGCTGACAGAGACCCCTGTCCATGCTGGGGAGGGTCTGTCCATTCATCTCCTTGCTGGACTTAGGAGAGCAGGATGAGAGTGCCATGCACCCCAGGGCTGGCCTGGGGAGGTATTTGTCAGTGCTGGATTTCTCTGCAGCTGCTGCTGGCTTTTTTAGAGGTTGAAGACTTGTGACTGTTTTAGGTTGTTGGTTTTGTTTGTTTTTTTTTTTTTTGTTGAAGTCAAGTGCACTGAGTCATTGTCAATATCAGCAAAGCTGCAGCCTTTACTCCAAGGAATAATCCACGCCTAATGAGCTCTTCTCTTGCTTTAAAGGCCTGACAGTTGTTTGCATTTTGTGGATTTCTATACTGACAGTTAAAGTTACCAAAAGGAAGTGCCTTAACTCAATGAGATGAAGCCTACAGCTGGCAACCCATTCCTGAGTAGCCAGGTATCAGCACAGACCTCAGTTCCTCTCTCTTCTTCACAAGCCTTGTACAACTGGTGCCATTTTCCCTTTTTCCTTGTCTGAGGAGGATGAAACTGCCTGTTGGCAACTGAGGACCTCCTAGGTAGATTTGCAAGAGATCCTTGTCCGTTTTCCTGAAGCCTATAATTGTCTTCATGCTCTGCTTACACACCCAAAGCTGAAGTGTTCCCCTCTTAATGCCACCAGGAAATATGCCTCCAAGATTTCCTGATACTGAGGCAGGAATACTGATACTTTATTTTTGCCCTTTGTGCTCTACCAGTCTCTATCTCTTTGGGTTGGTAATGAAGGTGTCAAAAAGTAAGTGTCACCATGGCATGTATTCCAGAGTATTTCTCTTCCCTGTAGGGTCTGGGCTGTGCTGGGTGCAGCAGCACCTCCCCAGGTGATTTCTGGGGTTCAGAAATCTCTCCCCTTGGCAGTGGAGCTGCATGTCAGAGCACACCTCGTGCTTGGGTGAGGTGAGGAGGAGGTGCAAGCTTGTCTTTGCTCTCTGAGGGGTTTATCCTGGACTCTGGGACCATAATGGCCAAGGAGCTAAACCCTGCAGAAAGCCTGGTGCACTGGAGGGTCATACACAGACTGAGGTCTATCTAACTCCATCTTTTTCCTGTGAATAGAGCCCTTTTTTATGTCTTTCAGCCAGTTTTCAGCCCAGGTGATGGGGTTTTTAGTGCACAGCAGTCTGAAAAAGTCATTTCTGCTCAGTTTTTAAGTGCGGTGCTAAACTCCAAACATCTGCCATCCCCAGAGAACGCTGCTTTGTAATTTTGTCTTAAAAAGTAATCTGTGTAAACCCCACCACTGCCTGCTGTTCACAGATCTGCTCTCCTCCCAGCAGCCAGTGGTTGGATAGTGTGTAAGTGATCTGAGTGATTTTGAACATTTCCTAAACTCTCCCTGGAGATTATCTCTGCCCCTAGCACCTTCCAGTCACCGTGGGTGTGCAGAAATGCCTCATGCCTCCTTACCCAGTCACACAATGCTGGGGTGCCTGGCATGTTCCTGTGCTTGGCTGGGGACACAGCTGGGACTGCAGGCCTGGGGGAGGGCTGACACAAGAGGTTCTTCTCGTTGAATGCATTTGCAAGTTGAGCCTGTAACAGAATTCTGCTCTGGGACAGTTAGGGACTTGGAGCAGTGAGACACAAAATCCTCTCCAAGCACTCATGCATGCTGCACATGTGCCAGGTGCTCTGTCAGAGGCTGAGTTAGCCCACGACATCCTTTGGGGATGCTCCTGCATTCCAGTACCCAAGTGAATCAGCCACTACAACTGCTGCAGATGCTCACTGCTGCAGATGAGATGCATGTCAGGGAGAAAGCAGCCCTGGAAAGGTGAATCCACCTTTCCTCAGAGCCCAGGACTTTAGCTCGTCATGCATCCCAGCACCCACAGCTGCATCGAGGTCTGCAGGGAGGGAGAGGGCTCTGTGCAACTCTGGTGAAATCCGAGTGCATGAAGTTCCAATGAGGGATCAGAGGCAGAGTCAGCCCCACCAGCCCCAGCCAGAGCTGCTGCTGTTCCTGGGAACCTCCATCCCCCCAACGTGGCTCTGACATTCTCTGGGGCTTGCTGGCCTGAGTGGCTGATACACAATGCAGATTTGGGAGGAGAAGGTTCATAAAGTTTCTGTTGCAAAGCCTGTTTATCAGAAAAAGGGCTGGCCCAGGGGTATGCCAGTGCATGCTGCAGCAGGCATCCTGCTCCCTGCAAGACTGGCAGGAGCCTGTGGGAGATGTACAAGGGCTGCCATTTCCCTTTGCATGGAGGAGAGGTGACAGCCCAAGACTCTCCCTCAGGAGGAGCAGGTTGGGATTCCCTCCTGACACAGGATGTGTGCAGCCAGGACAGAATATTTCACCTTATGTCCCAGAGCCAGGAGACAGCAGTGAGACATTTCAGAGCCTTCCTCTCACACTTAGAGACAGATGATTCACATTGTTATGGGCAGCACTGTAGCTGTACTTCATAAAATCAAGCACATGGAGAGCAGAAATCAGCCCCCTGGATGGGAAACACTCCCTGGCATTCCTAGGCCAGAAGGTATTTCTGTGAGAGCAGGACTTCCTCTGCTGCTAACAGCCACAACTCTCTTGACAGAGGGATTCAGCTGAGGTTTTTTCTGGAAGAGCAAGCAAGGAAGGTGTAGGTTGTGCAAGAGGGCTGCAAAGCCTTTGCAGGTGGCATTTTGCTCCCAGCCTTTAGAATACTACCCCCAGAGTTTCACCAGCAAAAGTTAAGAAATCACAAAACTTCCCATGGCTCCTGAAGTGCAGGATGCTCAGTGTTTAGGGTGTGTCCACCTTACATCCTGTTTGGGAGACTGAAATCTGCCAGACTGAGCATCTGCCAGACAGGCATGGCCAGAGGGCCAGGACAGGACAGGGTACAAGCAGGGACTTCCAGAGCAAAGGAAGCATCTTGGTATGGGGCAGCAGCAGAACAGGAGGACATGGTTTAGGGACAGAGACACTTCCAGCTTCTGACCTTGTCTTCTTATTTCCCTTCCAGTTACTACATAGATGGTCGAGTGGCCAAGGTAACAGACTTCCTGAAAACACGGCTGTTAGACACTCTGTCAGACCAGATCAGGAAAATCCAGAAGGTGAGCAAGGCAAAGGGTCTGCAGGGCTGAGGGGACAGCATGGCTGCAGTGCCTGGCTGGGGCACAGCTCGTGGCCAGGGCTCAGCATCCACAGCTCCCAGGGCAGCTGGGCTGGGGCAGGGAGGGAGAGTGGCTGCTCTGCTCCCAGGAAAAGTGCAGCCAGCCCTGTTCAGGGCAGGGGTGAAACACCAGGCAGCACCAAGCCTAGCCCCAGGGTGGGGTGTGTGCTGGGCTGTGAGGGAAGTGCCCATAGGCTGCAGCACAGCATGGGCTGTGTAGGTGTGCTGGGACACAGGGCAGCAGAAAACACCATGCAGTGCAAGGCCCTGCCAAGGCAGCTACTGGCTTGAGGCTCCCATCTGTCTGTAATGAGGGTGAAACTGAGTCTGCTCCCCAGAACAAGGAAAGGAGGGAGCAGCCAGGTGGTACCAAACCTCCCTGAGCACAGCCAGTGCCATGTGTGCTCAGGAGGGGCTCCTACCACCACATCTTACTCACAATGTGGCTGGGAATGTTGCTTGCAAAGCAGTGACAGTTGCATTCCCAGAGTGATTCTCACTGGTGGAGAACTGTGACCATTATGAACTAGCATCCTTTTTCCCTGATAATCATGCTTTGACTGTGTCAGAAAACCCAGCTGTTGCTGGCCTGTGGTGTCAGAGTCCATGGCTGGCTCGTGAGTGCTCCTTTCCTCCCTGTACAGGGGATCCAGCTCACATTTCTAACAATGGATACATGGCAGGGGCTCTGCAGGGTCCCCCTGCTTTGGCTGATAGAGGGGCCAGGGCTGAGACTGACATGCTCAGCTGTCAGTCCTGGAAGAAATAAGGAACACCTAGTGAGTGAAAAAGGCCTTAGGGACTAGAGGAGATGTCCATCCATCTGTCTTTTCTAGATTTTCAAATCTTACCACTCACCACAATGTCTCACTTGTAATTCCTGCAGGGAGAAACCATAGAATGAGTAAACAACTCAAAGAGGCCCTGGGAAAGGGGATGAGAGGGTCAGTGCCGCAAAGCTGGAGGAGAGAAGCTCCTTGCTGAGCCCTCTGGCACAAGCTGGGAGTCATTCATGTGTGTGGATGATACTCCTGCTGTGGGGGAGGCATGGCACAGTGGAATCACAGTGGGACAAGCAAGAGGCACCAGCTGACCCAGCCCCCACAGGTACAATGCCCTGCCAAAAGTAGTGACATGTATCCCACCCCTGCTGCAGGTTGGAACCTGATGGGAACGGAGTGGGAATCCATCCACTCCCAGAGCAGAAGCAGCCAGCAGCTGCCCTTGGTGCAGTTTAGGGGAACCCTCACACCCAAGCGCCAGAATTTGTTGTGCACAGGGTAGGGCTGGGGAAGGCTCTCCTGGGAATGCCAGTGAGGCTGAGCAAAAGCACAACACTGGGTGCTAATGGCCTCCAGCTTGGCTCTGAGTCCCTGCATCCTGCCGGGGCTGATTAGAGCAGCTGGACTTGTCCACTTGCCTGTTTTATTGCTTCCTCTCCGGCCGGGAAGGTGGCGGGCTTAGATAATTACAGGCAGGATGCCAACACCTCTGGGGCTTCAGGCAGGGCTGCCGGCTCTCACAGGCTGTGAGTGGGAGGCAGCCCAGAGCTGGCCTATTTAACATCTTTGAGGGATCCCAGTCCATCCAGCACATTCCAGCGCTCCTCGCTAACGGGGCAGGATCCATCAGGCTGCTCAGAGCATTCCTGGGTTTGCAGACATCTGGTCTTGGGAGCTTGTCACCCAGCCTGGAGAAGTGCGATGGCAGGAGAGGGGACAGGGTGTGGTGCCAAAGGTTCTCGGGCTGGGAGAAGGCAGCTCTGGCCAGCTGAGCATCCCACAGGTGCCTGCACTGCTGAGGGGTGGGCCAGCATGCTCAGACCTGCATGTCCCACCTGTGCCATGGACCCCTCAGGTGCCAAAGCAGCCCCTGCTCAGCTGTGGCACTGACTGTCCCATTGGGGCTCAGGAACTACCCACGGCTGGCAGCCACCTTGACAGGGGTACGGTGAGCTAAGGTGACATGAGAGGGCAGTGTGTGGGACAGAGTGCATGGGGACACCACAGGGGAAGAGCAGGATCTGGGACTGGGAACATGAGAGTACGTTTGGGAGCAGCTCCAGAAGATGCGAGTGGACGTGTTGGCAGTGGAAGGAAAGGTGAGGAATGGTGTCCCCCCACCCAGCCAAGGTAAGGACACAGAGGGACATGCCATGGCCAGGCAGGCACTGTCTGTCCAGCAGCAGCACCACCAAAGGTCTGCACAAGTCTTCCCATGAGACAGGAGATGTCTGGCTTGGCTTTAAGTCACAGGTGCAGCAGAGTAATTTTGGTTGCTTTTGTCTCTCACGCAGGTAGTGAACACGTACACACCAGGGAAGAAGATCTGGCTGGAAGGTGTTGGCATGACCTCAGCTGGAGGCATGAACAACCTCTCTGACTCATACGCAGCTGGGTTCCTGTGAGTGACACTGGCTTGGCACCCCAGGGCACTGCCACCCCGTGGGCTCTGCAGGCTGAGGTGCTGCAAAGGCACTGCAGCTGGAAGAGGGCAAGCTCCAGGCCCAGAGACCCCTTCAGTACTTCCTGGCAGCCTGAGTATTGTTAAATTCTCCATTTCATACCTATTAGCCCTCCTCAGCTCTGCTTTCCATTTTCTGTCCTTTGAAGAGACCATTCCTGGCTCCTGGGGCTTGTCCACTGGCACAGCCCCATGGCCTGGACATCCTGCTGCAAAGCGCCAGTCCAGATCTTCAGAGCTGGCTGTGATCATGAAAGATGGAGGAAGATTATCTAAGCTTTGCAGGGAAGCACAGGGATATGCCTGGGCTATCAGGGCTGTGGCGGGCTGTAAGAATTGAAGACCTTGCCCAGGGAGTGTGAGAAGACAGGCCAGTGCAAAGGTCTGCTCTGCTCTGCTCAGACAGAGGGGGCAGAGTGCTGGCAGGCTGGGGGAGCATCTCTGGGCAGAGGGCTGAGATATTGGGGTGCACACAGGGGCTAAGGCACAGGTTTGGGATGTGCAAGCTGGGCACAGCTGGGGCAGGGGAAGAGACATGCAGACTTTCTGGGACAGGGATAGTGGGAGCCAGTTCATAACACCACCAGGAGGCTTCAGCTCAGGTGCTGGAGCAGGGATCAGGTTGTATGCATGAGAGCAGGTGTGCCACCGGGACCAGGCAGTCCTCCCCATGTGTTCATATGTGACATGGTGCCCCCTGTCCCTCCATGGTGCCCTGGCTCTGTTCCCTCTGTCCCCAGGTGGCTGAACACGCTGGGGCTGCTGGCCAGCCAGGGCATCGACGTGGTGGTGCGCCACTCCTTCCTCGACCACGGCCACAACCACCTGGTGGACCAGAACTTCAACCCCTTGCCGGTAGGTCTGCCCAGGGCTGTCGTGCTGCTGCTGCCTTCTCCCTGCACGTTTGGGGGGATTCTCTCCTTGTGGCCTCTCTGAACTCTGCTGGGAAATGAATTTTCCAGGTCTGTTCCTGACAGTGCTAATTGGAGATGTTGCTTCATGTCAAGTGCAACATGCTGGAGCCAGATGGGAGAGCGATACCTCTGTAGCTGAAATTTTGTCTGATGCCCCAGGGCTGCGGCACAGGAGGGAGGCTGGTACCACTGAGGGGCACCAGGGCAGGCTGGAGATTTGGAGGGGTGGATGAGGTGCTGGCCGAGGGAAGCCAGGCTGGAGCTTCAGCACATGATTTCAGACTTCTAAGAAACCAAGGTGAAAGCTCCACAGTGAGCAGTGATCCCATCAGTGCCCCACAACATCCCTCACTCCTCAGCAACACCTGGGCAGAGGGGAACTCCCAGAACACATGGTGCTCATAAGGAAACCATATGAAAAATCCTGTTAAAAGCAGCAGGTTTCCTTTTCCTCTGGGGGTTAGTAAATATACTGCCTTGCAAGCAGAGAGTCTGGCAGAGCAGCTGGGTGCTCTGCATCTCTCCTAGAAGGGATTTATTGGTCCATGACCCAGCAGACACTGCCAGCAGGCTGGGGATCCCTGTTGGAGATGTGCACAACCCTGACACTGTGAGCCTGCCCTTGGTGCTGTGCTGGGATCTCAGGGGTGGATGCAGGGGAGCAAAGTCTGAGGGAGCTGCATGTCAGCCAGCTCTGCCTGCTCAGGCAATGAAAACAGCACCCTGAGCATCAGACTGGCTCCAGAGAGCAAACCAGTGAGCAGGAGAGTGTGGTCATGCCTCTGCTGCTTTGGGTATCTCCTGGGGCACCTTGGTGTGTTCCCACATGCAGCCTTCCAGCAAACACACCTGCCAGCTCTGGGGCCCAGCCCGGGGGGCTTTGAGCTTTGTCTGAAATGAACCTGAGCTCAAAGCTCGATGGATTTCTCCTGAAGAGCCTGGATTTCCCTGACCAAGCCACATCACCCCCTTTCCCAGGGCTTCAGGGCCCCTGGATTGATCCTGGCTCGATGGGTGCAGGCCAGCTCCTGCCTGCTGGGTGTACAAGGGTGTGGCCAGCTCTGCTGGCACAGAGGGGCACAGGGTGTCTATGGCCAGCTCTACTGGCACAGCAGGGCACAGGGTGCCCATTGCCAGCTCTCCTGGCACAGCAGGGCAGAGGGTGCCCATGGCTAGCTCTCCTGGCACAGCAGGGCAGCAGCCCCAGATATCAGCTGGAAAAGGAATGCAGTTCAGAACGGGATTAGAGCCAGGGAAGGAGTTAGAGGAATAAACCCCAGGCTGTTAAACAAAATGGAAGACTTTAACTTGGATTTTGCTGTTGTTTTAAAGATAAGTCTCCCAATAAGTGAGGTGCCAGTTGCTGTCGTGATTGTTTACTCACTCTCCCATGTTCGTCAGCGCCGATCCCACATCCCACCACTGTGCTCCTGCACAAACTCAGGCAGGTGCTTCCACAACCCCTTTCCCTCCACTCCTGTGCTACAAAAGAGCCACGGACAGGTGCAAACCCACAAAGGGTTTAAAAAAGCTGCAAGCACCGTAAAGCCCGGCAAGACCGGGCGGTGACCCGCTCGGCGGGACGGTGGCTGCTCTTTTCCCGTGGGAGCTGTCAGGAGATAAAAGCCGCTGGCTGTACCTGTGCGGGGCCGGCGCTGTGAAATACAATCTGCTCATTAGCTGCCATGACAAAGAGGTTTCCGCACGCCGGCTGGGCGTGAGGCAGCTCTCAGCTGCCTGCTGAGAGAAGGGCTGCACCGCCAGGGCATCAATCACAGCTCCTCGGGGAGCTGGGAGCCAGGCCCCGGCTCCCCAGAGCCGCCCTTGCACCTCCTTCTCCTCCCTGCCCCTGCTGATGCCTGCTTGTCCAATAAGAGGATGGTCTCAGGTGGCAGCAGGCACCGAAGTTTTGCAGTGAAATTAGGAAGATGCTCACATCTCTGCTGGGCTTCCCGTACTCAGCTGACTCACAAGCTAAGCGGCATCTTGTGCCTTTTTGGGACGTCTTGCAAGAGATGTGGTCCTTGTGTGCCCCTCCGGGTCCTTCACCCATGGAAGGGCAGCTTGAGTGCCCATTCTGGTTGCCAGAATTGCCTGTCCACTGTCTCTCTGAGCTCAAGTGTTTTACTGCCTTGTTATTTTTGAGATAACATTTTCATGTATGGTTGGAGTGCTTTTTCTTGCTGAGTGATTGGAGCAGTCAGCTGTATAATAGTCAGAGAAGCCCTTCAAATAAAGCCTTATGCAGGTACATCAGTCTGCCTGCCTGTACTTAAACCTGTACATGTGTGGGAGTAAGGAGTGCAGGAAAGGAGGGCAGGAGCAGCCCTAATATTTGCTCGTCACAGGGCAGTGCCTTTGAAATGCTGATCCAGCATACAGTACCTCTAGGATCATTTCAGGCATGCAACGTGCATACTCTATCTCTCTTTCCTTAATATCTCTCTGAAACAGTCCAGAGGGAAGCAATACATTTATTTCACCCCAGGCAGACATGAGATTTCTCTTCAGATTCTTACAGAATGTTAAAGGCATTTTTCAGTGCTCTTCCACGTGGTACTCACCTCTTTTTTATCCATCCTTAGTATTGATTTCTGCTCCTTTAATATAAAATGCTGTAAGGTTATATATCTATGCAGAGAAAAAACTTGGGCATATTTCTAGGCAGGGCTTGAAGAACACAAACCCCATGGAAAAGCCAAAGCTGGAAACCAGACTTCCATTTCCTGTGGCTCCTCATGGACCTTTGTCTAATGACTCTGGGCAGGGAGATACTGAGTTCAGTAGACAAAGTTCTTTTCTGCATACAAGATTCACATGCAGGATGAGAAAGTCCCGGAGGGATCAAGGGTGGATGGACAGCAGGGGCTGCCTGCTCAGCTGTGGTGGTAGAAGACAATATGATATTGCCTGTGAATTGATGGTGTCCTTGAGAAAGCATCACAGCAGTGCGAAGGTCTGTGCCCAATGGTGCTGTGATCAGATGCTTGGATGCTGCGGGTGATTTTTCACCTCCCTGGCTTTGCCCAAAGGCACTGAGGAGAACTCAATGGGAAAGAACATCACGGTCTGTCCTGCAGAAGGGAGGACCCTGGGCTCATATCAGGTCTGTCTGACCTGTCCCGAGCACACGGACACGGTTGGGCTCCCTCAGTTTCGGGGCCCAAGGAGGCAAGGGACCCTCGGTGAAGTGCCAGGAGCGGGAGCGGGTCCCCGTGCGTGCTCCGCCTGCTGCACGTACTCGCTCCCCGGTGCGCTCATTAGCGGAGCTGCCTTAGCAGGAGGCGCCGCTAATTGCAGCGGAGGGTCCCGGCCGTCCCCCGGTCTGTCCCTCTCCCGCCCCTGCGCTCCCCTGGCCAGGCCTGCGGGGGCAGGGTCCTCGCCCAGCTGTGCCCGTCCCCACCCCGGGGACAAGCGGGGTTCAGCCCTGCTGCTGCACCCGCCCCTCTGCACATCCCTCAGTGCCACCGCGCTGAGCCGAGCACCTGGGCAGGAGCGTGGCTGCTGCTCCCCACAGGGACCCTCGGCTCCGGGTCACTGTCTGGGACCGTGTGCCATGCAGGCAGAGGCACGGGCCCAAGTCTGGGAGTGACAAAGGGTGGGGAGAGGGAGCAGGTTCAATGGAGCTTGCACACACACGGAAGCTGTTCCTGAGGACTGTAAATCTGTGCGCGGGCGTCTGGCACCCCCATCTGCCCTGCACGCTAGAGCACTGACTCTGGTGGGAGCGATGCCTTCAGACAGGGAAGGGATGGGAGAGGCAGGGATTGGCAGGACCTGTTGTTAGAGGATGTTTGTTCTGGCCACAGATGGGAGGGATGAAGTCCCAGGCAGTTCTGGTGTGCACTGGGGAAAAGCTCTCCCATGCATTGTCAAGCTAAAGCATGGTCTGCTGAAGGGCAGAGTAGAAATAGTGCCCTGTGGAAGTCTTCCAGTGAGCCTTGGCACAACTGCCTGGAGCAGGTTTGAGCAGAGCATCCACTCCACCACCCTGTCCTTTCTGTCATGTCTCAGGGACTGAGGCACTGTCTGCTTTCTGCACCCCTTCTCTTTCTAGGAGGTCCAGGTTAGCTCTGAGGATTGTTGTATCCATTAATGAGACAGATTTAGAGCAGCTGAACTCTGCTTGCTGTCACAGTGGGTTAAGGGGCCTTTCCCTCTTGGTGCACTCTGAAGTGCATATTCATGGACTCTCAAATGGATCAAAGCCATGCCTAGCAGCTCTGGCACCCACCCACTGGAGCTACAAGACATGTGCAGAGCTGGAGCTGGCCTGTTCCTCCTGCACAGAAGTCTGGAGCAGAAACAAAATCCATCTGGGACTGGCAGCAGCAGCTTGGTCTTGCAAGGATGGACACAGCCACGCCTCACATCTCCAGAGGCACCATGGTGGTGCTAAACCTGCCCAGCTTGGTCACAGAGCCAGCCCAGGGCTGTGGACGAGGTGGGACAGAAAGACCATTCCTAGAGTGGATTGGTGCTCTGGAAGAACAGGAAACAGAAGAATTGCATTTGGTTTCCAAGCCCTCTGATCTGGCAATTCCGCTCCCTTCCTGTAGCCTGCATGGCCTGGACCCTGTTAGGGAGAGGTGATGACAAAAGAGAGATTTGGCTGTTCCTCCATCTGCTCAGATCCCAAGAAGGTGGGGAAGCCACAGGCTGGAGGCAGGCTGTGCTGGGCAGTAGGCAGGGGTCACATCCTACCCAGCACTCTCCTGTTTGCTGGGCAGGCTGTCCCCTCAGTACCACCGATGCCTGGCAGCAATTCCTGTGGCTGCCACTCCCACTGTAGGAATTCTGCTGCATACCACTTGCTTGAGGAGGAAGCTGCAGGAAGATGTAAAGGCATAAGGCAACGCAGGAAAGAGTTGTGTGAGATGAAGTGTTTGCAGCCGTTAGAGCAGGAAGGAAGAGGATCAGCACAGGGAAAGCAGCAGATACCCAGGCAGAGACGTCAGCAGCTTCAGAGGACTGGTGGTGGGGCACTGCTGGGATGTGGCCTCAGCAAAAAAGGGATTGGTCAGCATCAGCTGACCTTTCATGGGCAGTGGTGTCTGGATCAAAGCAAAGGTCTGTCCTGCCCAGCAGGGGCAGAGCAGAGGGAAGAGGCAAGGGGCCCCTTGGGCAGCATGTCTGTGTGCTGCCTCCTCCTCCCCTGCTGGTGCCTCTGGCAGGTCAGTCCACTTGAAGCCCCCTTGTTTGGGGCTAGAAGAAGCCTTGTCCCCATTCACAGACCATCTCTGGAGTGTCCCCTGTGGTGCTCACCCACAGACTCCCCAGTACAGCAGCAAATGTTATAGGGACTGCTCAGTTCTCCACAACCTCCACACACAAAACAGCAAACCAGATCATGTCCCTGAGGATGGGGGCATGAGAGCTCATGAAGGCAGCACTAGTGTCTGAAGCTGATCATTTTGACTTCAGAAAATGTTGTTCCCTTTGGGATGAGGCCCTGCCCCACTCTGCTTGTCACAGGACCTTGCAAAGGGTTTGGCTGAGAAAACCTTGAACTCTCACTTAAGAAGCACATAAAACTCAGGGATAATGTTAAAAGCAGTATTATCCAGCCTTGCTGGAGGAACAAGCAGCTATGGCTTGAACAGGATGTAAGGACCTCCGTGGGGAGAAAGCTTTGGATGCTGAGAATCTCTTTAATCTAGTGGAAAAAGCAAGAACAAGAACCACTGGTTGGAAGCTGAAGCCAGACAAATTCAAGACAAAAATAAGGAGTGGGACTGTTAACAGTGTGGATATGTAAGTGCTGGAACAGGCTCCCTGGGAAGCAGCAGCTTCTCCATCCTTCCAGATCTTCACAACCACAATCACTACTTTTCTGTAGGATGCTTTTGTCAAAAACAAGCCATCAGGCTCAACAAAGGGATAAAAGAGCAAAGCCCTCTGTCCTGTGGTGTTCAGACCAGCCAGCCCTTATCTCCACACAGGTTGCTTGGACTGTGGAAAAATGCAGATGGAGGTGCAGGACTGCAGCTCTCTGTAACAGGCTGCTGAAACTCGAGTGTGCATAAGGCACAGGGGAAGAACTTGGGCAGCTTCAGAAGCAGGAAGAAGCAATAAAAAGTGGAATAGGGTGAGCAGCAGCCAGCTGATGCTGCTGGTGACTTGGGAACATAAAGCCATGCCCTGGCAGCTCAGCCAGAGGAGGTTGTGCACCACAGGCTCACAGCCTACACGTTTGAAATTCAGCTGCCTTTGTTGGTTACAGTTCCCAGGAGACTGAAGGGCTCTTTTACTCTGGTTTTCTGGTTATGGAAACATCTCACACGTGGAGAGCACAGAGCTGAACAAATTCAGGTGGGCAGCAGAGCTGCTTTGCTGACTCTAGGAGAGAGTGCAAGTATAACTCCTGCCCTTCTCATGATGGCTCTGCAGACAGGAGGGTCTGGCTAACAGCTCTGCCTCAGAGCCTGCCTAATCAACCTTGTTTCCAAAAGCTAAAGTCTTTAAAACTTCTGCAAAGAAGTAAACTGTGCCAAGAGATCACGTAGGACCCTCTGGTCTTTCCCTCTCTAGTGGAAAACTTGTATGTCTTCACTGTCCCCATGGAGCTCAGAAGGTGAGGCTCCGTTCTGCACATCAGCTCACTCAACACAAGCTCCCCTCCTGCCCACAAATCAGGGATCCCAGACAGGAGAGCTCCTGAGGCACAGGAAGGCTCTGCCTTCAGGTGCTCCTCACCTGCAGTACTGCTTGATGGCTCTGCAAAGCATTTAAACCAAGAAAGATCCCTCGATTCTCATGGGACTAATAACAAACCAGATTCCTCCCTGCTATCCCTCCTCTACTGCTACAGCTGTATTGCTCAGCCCTCACAACAAGAGTCTTCTGTGACTCCAAAAGACAAATCCTTTCTACAGTTTCACTGGTTGGACAAACCTGTCTCCCTGGGCCTGGTTGAGGCTGCCCCTGACAGGATGTCCAGCACCACACTGCACATCTTTGCAAGGGGTATGTGGGCACTGCCAGCCGGGGGAACTTGCTTGCCCAGGGTGTGCCACATGGCAGCGGGTGCCAGATGCTGTCAGGGCTGAGGAAGAGGTCACTGCTCAGTGGAAAAGCCACCCTGGTTGCAGCTGGGTTTCAAGAACAACTATTTCCCAAGCTGGTACCATTGAACAGGAGCTGGTAGCTCTGGGAAGCCCAGCAGCCCTGACATGGTTTTGGCTGGGCTTCACTCATGCCAGAGGAAAGAGCAGCCCTGGAGCACCAGCCCAGCTAGGGAAAGTGTCTGCCCTCAGTAGGTTTGTTTCAGTCATGCTAGGTGTGTGTGTGTAATTTATCATCCAAGTGCTTGGTGTCACCAGGCCCTGGTAATTTATTGCAAATAACATGATTTGGGCCCCTCACACAAGCGAATTTGCGATGATGCGAAAAGCTGCAGCTGTCCTCAGTGCTTCCCTGCAGTGAGCTGAAGAGCTCAAGTGCCTTGAGGCCAGTGCTGATGTCTCCTGTTCAAACCCTGGGTCATTTTTCTGGCCCTCCTTTGAACTCTCTCTGGTATTTTCACATCCTTCTTGAAACTGAGACTTTGGAGCTAGCTTTGCCAGCAAGGCGAGGTAAAAGCACTGCTCCCCCCTCATCTCCTGCAGATGTTGGAGGGACACAGTGGTTCCTGCACTGCCCTGGAGGCACTGACTGTGCTGAAATACTGCACATTCACCCTAAATCACTGCTGACTATCTTACCCATCCCATGGCACCTGCATGGTTTTTCTCAGAAAAGCTGTGTACCCTTAGCTGGGCCAGAGGCTCCATCTTCCCAGCACCACCTGCCGTGCCTGGAGCAGCAGCGGGGCCAGAGCCCCATCCTGCAGAACCGCAGGCAAGGGCCTGAGCTTGCCCTTTCCCTTCCCACAACCCTGCTTCATTTACCACACACCTCCCAGCTCCTGCAGCGGATGAGAGGGGGCCCACACAGCCTCAGCTCCCTCCCCGGGGCCTGGGGCCCATCCTGTGTGCAGTGCGAGGCCGTGCCCTGCGGGAAAAAGCAGTGTGTGGTGACGTAATTAAGGCTGCATCACTTATGCATGTGTATAGGACCTAAGTATTTCCTCTTTCTTGAGCTTGGCTTCCCCATGCTCTACAGGAGGCTTTAAAATGGGGGAAATACCTCTGGGAAGCTGAGCACCCTCAGCAGTCCCAAAAGGCAGTGTGCCACAAATAGAGACAAAGAGCAGGGGAGAGTTCTGATGTGCTCCAGCTCTGTGTAGAGAGTGGGGGAAGAGCCTGTTCCAGAGACATCACCAGCCTGTGAGCATCAGCTGGAGCTGGTGTGCAGGTCCACAGCACGGCTGTGTGTTGGTCCATGGGTATGTGCAAGGGCGCTCATGCTGCTCCCCATGCTCTGCAACCCAACCAAGATCTGAGCTCCTTTAGAGGGTACCCGTGTCTCTCAGTATGGGCAATGAATTCCTCCCTGAATTTCTTTCCTGGAAACATCCATGCCATTATGGCTTGGAGTGCACAAAAAGAGCTCACCCAATGCAGACAATCTGGCACATAACATTTTCACCCCAACAGCCAAAATTTCGCCAGGCTGCAAGCAGGGGAGCCAGCCTTTCCTGCCCACGCCCTCAGTGAGTAGGGGGGGCTGTTGTGCTGCTGACTGTCCCCTCTGCCCCCCAGGACTACTGGCTGTCCCTGCTTTACAAGCGCCTCATTGGTCCCAAGGTGCTGGCGATCCACGTGGCCGGCCTGCAGAGGAAGCCCCGGCCCGGCAGAGTCATCCGCGACAAGCTCCGCATCTACGCGCACTGCACCAGCTACCACAAGTGAGCGGAGCGAGGAGGGCTCAGGGTCACAGGGTGGGATCAGTGGCACCCACAGGAGGTGGGGGCAATAAGGACACACTGGTGCAGGTCGGCTTCCCAGGATGCTCGCTCGGGTCCTGCTCCTCACTCTGGCCGCTGTCACAGTGCAGTGCGGGAATGGCGATGCCTCCGATGAAAGTGGTGGCGAGCCCGCGCCTGGGAACGGGGCCGGTGGTGCCGGTGCCGCCGGGCAGCGGAGATCAAGGGAGTGGATTTCACACGAGGGGCCCCGCTCGCTCGCTCGGGTTACCCGGGCCGGGCTGCTGGGGAGCCTGGCCTGGTTATTGTTTCTCTGATAAGGTCTTTGAAAGCACCTCAGCGAGCCGGGGGGGCGGCCACCTCCTCCGCGGACACAAGTTGCTATTGTGGAGGAGGAGAGACTGTTTCTTTACACAGTCCAGATGCTTTCAACATGCCTCCAGCTCGGTAGGAAACCTTGTCTAGTAACTGACAGGTGCAAAGTGCTTTATAGCCTTTGTTTGGAGCTGCCCGATTAGGCAGGGACAGAGGATCAGTGTCTGGACCTGTCTGTCAGGTGCCTGGGGTGGCGGGGGCAGATGCACAGAGCTCCCCTCCGTTCTCAGCCTCCTCCTTGCAAGGTTTGGGGGGCTGGGGCCGTCCTGGGACTGACACTCTGTCCTTGGCCACCTCCCCTCTGGAGTGGCAGCGTCCTCTCGTGCCATGTCACTGCTGGCTGAAGAGGGGGGTCGAAAGGTGTCGCCTCAGAACCAGGCTTCATGATGGGAAGGTGGCATCTCCCCGTGAAGGGGCAGCAGGACATGATGTGAATCTGGATGCCTGCGTGAGGCCAGTTCTTACAGAGACCCCCAAGCCCCTTCCTGGAGGCGATGCTCCCTGAGGACATGGCAGTGCAGCCCTCACCTCCCACTCTCCCCTTTGCAGTCACAACTATGTCCGGGGATCCATCACTCTTTACATCATCAACCTACACCGCTCCCGGAAGAAAATCAAGCTGGCAGGGACGCTGCGGGATAAGATTGTCCACCAGTACCTGCTGCAGCCCTATGGCAAGGACGGGCTGCACTCCAAGTAAGTTTGATGCTGGTGGCTGGGACTGCCACCACTGTCGCACCCTCAGTGCCACTGCGCTGACCCTCTCCTGGTCCCACAGGTCGGTCCAGCTCAACGGGCAGCCGCTGGCCATGGTGGATGACGGGACTCTCCCCGAGCTGAAGCCTCGCCCTCTGCGGGCCGGCCGCACCCTGGTCATCCCCCCGCTGACTATGAGCTTCTACGTGGTGAAGAATGTGAACGCGCTGGCCTGTCGGTACCGATAGCCTGCGGCGCACCAGGGACTCGCCAGCCCCGCTCCTGCCCCTGAGCACTGCCCAGGTCACGCTGCCTCCTCGGCAGCCCACGCAGCCTCGCCGTGGGGCCGTGCTGGGCAGCTCCACGCCGTGCCCTCATCCTCACCTCCAGGATGTCCTCTCCCGTGGGACCATCCTGCCCTGTGACCGCAGAGCTCCACGTGCCCTGGCCACCATCCCGCCAGAGCAGTGCGACAGCCAATTTGCAGGGCCTGCCATCCTCTGTCCTGTGAGCTGCGAGAAGCACCCGGGCCATGATGCCCACTGGCTGCAGGGAAGGTCGGGGTGCTGAGCCCCGGTATATCCCGGGACAAACGCCCTCCCCGACCCCCTGGTCCCGCTACCCCTCGGGACGACCCCTGCAGCAGCCGGACCCCCTCCCCGGCGGCGGGCAGTGCTCCGGAGCAGCAAGCGCATGGAAGCAGCTCCCTCTGCTGCCGCCGGGATGCCGCCAGCCGGCCTGGCCCGCCGGGGGATGCACCGGGCGGGGCGGGGCAGGGGAGGGAGCGCCGGGGGCCGCCCCGGGCGGGCGAGCTCGGGCTCCGCGGCGGGAAATGTTGATAATTAAATTATACATCCCGGAGCGGCGGGCCGAGATCGTGTCCTGCCCGGGAGAGTGGCGGTGTCGCGGGCAGGAGCAGCTGCGACGCGCCCAGGCGCTACCGGAGGTGTAATAAAGTTGGGCTCTCAACCGCGCCGGCGTCTTCTGTCCGTCGCGGACCGGGCCGGGCCGGGCGGGCGGGACCGGTGCTGCTGTCACACGGTGCAGCGCCGCGGTCGCACGGCGCCGCTGTCACAGGTGCGGTGCCGGGGTCGCACGGTGCGGTGCTGGGGTCACACGGTGCAGCTATCACACGGTGCTAGGGTCGCACGGTGCCAGGGTCACAGGGTGCCGCTGTCACACGGTGCGGTGCCGGGATCACACGGTGTGGTGCCAGGGTCGCACGGTGCCGGGGTCACACGGTGCGGTGCCGCTCCGGGCCGCCGGGGGCGCTGCGCGCGTGGGCGCGGCGGTCACGCGCGGCGGAGCAGGAAGCGGCGCGGGGCGGGTGGAGCCGCCCGGTGCCGGTGTCCCGGTGGAGCCGCCCTGTCCCGGTGTCCCGGTCCCGGTGTTCCCCCCGGCCGCGGGCCATGCGCTGCGTCCTGATCGCCAGCACCGCGGCTGAGCTGCTCTTCTACTGGGCCGATGCCGCCTTCCTCCGCCGGCTGCGGTCGTCCCACGCCGGGCAGGTGGGGCGGGACGGGGCGGCGCGGGTGCGGGAAGGGGGCGCGGGGTGCGCGGTCGCGCGTGGGCGCTGACCGGGAGAGTGTGGAGCAGGGCCCGGCGCTGGAGGACAGCCTCAACACCCTCTTCGCCCCCCTGATCATTTCCTGCGCCGCGCTGTTGGAGAAGCTCTCCGACACCTATACCTGCTTCGCCACCGAGGGCGGGCGGCACCTCCACGTCCTGCACATGGTAGGACCGGCACCGGGACCCCTGAGCGACACCGGGGACCAGGGACCGCTTGACCCCGCTTGACCCAGCTGCCGTTTGCAGTTCGGGGACTGCCTGTACATCGCAGTGAACGGCGACGGGACGCAGAGCGAGGACGACCTGCGCCGGACGCTCTTCGTGCTGCGGCGCTTGGTAGAGGCTCACTGTGGCCTCGTCACGCTCGACTCGCACCTCATCCGCAAGGAGTGAGCAGGCACAGCCCCCGGCACAGGCTGGCATGTGGGGCTGCTGGGGGGGCTGCCCTGGGCTGCCCTCATGCAGCATCGGTGGCTGGGAGTGGGGTCTCCAGCTGGGACATCCCCTGCCTGCTGGGCTGCAGCTGGGTTTTGGTGTGTCAGTCCCACGCCGGGAGCTGGGTTCTGGTGTGTCAGTCCCACGCAGGGAGGTGACAGCCAGCTGTCTGTCTACCCTCTGTCACGCTGCAGGTTGCGGCCGGCTGATTCAGAGCAGCGGGAGCGCGTGTGGAGCCTGCTGCGGGGCCTGCTGGAGACCTACAGCCACCTGCGGGAGGAGGACCAGAGCTTTGCAGTGGAGGTACCAGTGATCTGCGCTGTCTCTCACTTTTGGGGTGTTCCAGGGGTGGGAGGCTGCATGGAGCCCCAGGATGTGGGAAAAGGCAGTAGGCTGAGGACTTTAGGGCAGCTCCCTGGAGCAATGGAAGCTCAGACCTGCCCCTAGGACTGCAAGGCTGGGCCTGAGGAAGCTCAGCAGCCTCCCCTCCTCCTGCACCCCAGGCCGTGGAGCGGCTGATCCATCCTCAGCTGTGTGAGCAGTGCATCGAATTCCTGGAGCGACAAGTGGTGCAGCACATCAACACCAGCCCCGAGCGTGGTGGGGATGAAGTGGGCCATGCCTTCCTCCTGGTACACACCAAGCTGCTGGCCTTCTACTCCAGGTGTGCCCGGTCCCACCACGCTCCCTCCCCAGGGCAGCCATGTGTCCTCCCAGCTGACCCTGCCCTTCTCTGTCCTGCAGCCGCAACGCCAGCTCCATCCGCCCTGCCGACCTGCTCGTCCTCATCCTCCTGGTTCAGGACCTGTACCCCAGCCAGAGTGCTGAGGAGGAGCTTGGCCCACAGGTGCTTCAGAGCAGGGCTGGGGGTGCAGCAAGTCAGGGTGCTCCCATCATGGGGTGATGCCTTGACAGCTGGGGCTTAGGGGGGTTTTCTGTCTTTTTGAAAGCCCACAGCAGGGAATGTTCTCCCTCAGGGACCCAAGAGAAGTGAGAGCATCCCTGTGAGTGGCTCTGGCTCCCATGGAGCTGCAGAGAAGGACTCAGATGACCAAGTGAGTCCTTCAGATCAGGAGTTGCAGGGTGGGATTGCTGGGAGGGCTGCCTGTATCGCTGTATGCTGACCCAGTTGTTATTGCTGGCAGGACACAGATGATCCCTCTGTGCCTGAGGTGTACTACACACCTGAGCCCTCGCCAGGTGGGCACAGTACAGGTGAGTGCCCAGCTGGGCAGCAGCCGTGCCCCACACCCCCAGCCCTGCAGAGGTCCAGGGCTCTGGTGTGGGGGCTGGAAGGGTGCCCTGCCATTTTCTCTGCAGGCAGCGAGAGCTGGTCAGAGGGGGCTGAGATGCTGAGCATTGGGGAGGTGGATGCTGCAGACGTCCAGGTGAGCGCAGAGTCCTGCAACACCTCCCAGCTCCACACCTCACCAGCCTGTCCCAGTGCCTTTTGCAGATTCTGGTCCTCATCACTCTCTCTTGCTGTGCTGCTGCTGTGGGTACCCCATGTCGCCCATGTTGTGCATATTTGTGACAGCTCTGATCTCCTCTGGGCATTGTTACAACGAGCTGTCACAGCAGAGAGGGAGCGGGGCTGCCTCAGAGCAGTCCAGTGTCTCCCTCTGCTGCCGCTGAGCTTTCTGGGCTGCTTCCCTGATGGATGCTGCAACACCTCACACACTGCAAACAACACTGGCCCTGGTTTAAGGCATTTGCAACCTTTGTCTTTGCAACAGTCTTCTTCTTCTCTGCCCCTCCTTTGGGGTCCCTGGGCACTTTCCTCACTGCTGATCTTTTGCTACATGACCCCTCCAACTCTTTTGATTCTGTCTTGCCTGGTTGCAGCTTTCAAGGCAATGCTGCATCCCTACAGAGCATTCTCTGTGCGAGCTGCCTCATCCCCACAGGGGACTCAGTATCTCCCCTGTCTTCCCAGATGGCAGAGGACTTGCTGCAGACCTTGGGGCCTCTGGTCCCTGAAGCTTCAAACCCCAGAAGGATCTTTCTGGATGCCAGCCTGCGGGAAGGTTACTGCCCCTTGCTGCCACACACCATGCACTGCCTCCCGCTCTGGCCAGGCATCTCCCTTGTGCTGCTGACGAAGGTGAGCTGCCTCTGAGGTGGGGAAGCTGTGTGGGACTGGGTCCTGCCTGACCCACCTCTCCTTTCCCTGGCAGGGTCCCATGACCCAGGTGGCCATCACCTTGTACCAACTGCTGGATGGTTTCTTGGTGCTGGAGAAGAAGCTGGAAGAGGGACCAGAGGTGGGAGTCGCACGCTCCTACCCATTCCTCGCTGAGCTGCGGCAGCGCATGGACAAATTTGTGAAGAAGCTGAGTGGACAGGACATCCAGGTGGGCGTGGGGACATGAGGACCCTGTCCTTTTTTCTCCACAGCCTGACACCATCCTGTCTCTTTCTAGTTGCAGAACACCTGGTTGGACTTTAAGAACAAGATATTTTCACGGAATGAGCCTGGGAGCTCCCTAGAGTGAGTAGCAGGAAGCCAGGGAAAGTCTCTGGGACAGGCAGGGACCTGTCCCATCCTGGGGACGAGCACAGCTGTCCCTGCAGTGCTGGGGACCCAGTGTCCAAGCTCAGCTCTGTCTGTGTCCCCTGGCTCAGGTTGCTGCAGTCAGTGGCCAACGTGAAGCGGCAGCTCTGCTCCGTGTACCGCCAGCTCTTCCTGACCTCTGCTGGCCACAGCCTGTCCCAAGGGCTGCGGGACCGTGCTCAGAAACTGATGAGGTGAGTGCAGGGGGATGGTCAGCATCGCCAGGGGGCTGCCCCACACCCAGCTCTGTTGGGGCTTGTGGGTCCTGGCCTCTCACCGTGCCTCTTCTCGGCAGGGAGAAGCTGCTGGACTGGCGGGACTTCCTGCTGGTGAAGAGCAGGCGCAATATCACCATGGTGTCATACCCATCCCTGCAGCTGGGGAGCCAGCCTGCCAACGGGGTGTCCCTGAGGGGGTAGCAGACATGGGAGTGGGACCCTCTCTCCCAGCACCAGGATTAAGGGGAGGAATGTAGTGGGCAAAGGTGGTTTCCCAAGGCTCAGGGGCTGTCTTAGAAGGGCACCAAAGTTGTTGGACACCCTTAACCTATCCCACGTACCTGGAGGACTTCCCTGGCCTGGTGCACTTCATCTATGTGGACCGCACAGCTGGACAAATGATGGCGCCTTCACTCAGTGTGACAGAGAAGTCCAGCTCAGAGCTGGGCAATGGTCCCCTGGCCACCTTCATCAAGAAAAAGGTACTGCTCATGGGGTAGGTGTGGGATGGGAACCGCAGAAGAGGGTGGAAATTGGAGGGGTTTCTGCTCAGGCTTCAGGTGTCCCTTGTCCCCAGGTGTGGTCCCTGATCACGCTCGCCCGGCGATACCTGCAGAAAGGCTATACAACACTGATGCTGCAGGATGGTGACTACTGCTGCTCCTACTTCCTCTGGTTTGAGAATGAGATGGTATGTGGGGCCAGGAAGGGGCTGAGCTCTCTTTCTCTGGGACAGGGAGCAGGGCTGCAGGCCTAGCCAGCTCTGACTGCTCGATGTGCCATCCCAGCTCCTGCCCTCTGCTATCATTTCTCCCCAGGGCTACAAGCTGGAGGTGATGGAGGTACCAGTCCTGTCTGATGATTCTGCTCCCATTGGGATGCTTGCAGGGGACTACTACAGGTGAGCCCTGTGGTTTGGCACCAGGGCTCAAAGCCATGATGGCAACACGGGTCCCTGGGGGTGATGCCAGGATGCCAGTGGTGTCACTGGAGTTG